TGATAGTAACGGGTAGTTGTGAACCACCATGTGGGTAGTGGGAATGTGTATATTTGCATGTATCTGTGTGTGTGCACAGTACCTGCAGAAGCAAGCAAAGGGCATCAGTCTTCTTGGAGGTATAGTTATAGGAAGTTGTAAACTGTGGGACATGGGTACTGAGATCAGAGCTTCCCTAGAAAACCAGCAAATATTTTTAACCTTATATTAACATATGAGGTATTTGCTTTATTATTAATGTTTTACAAAATATGAGATGTTATACTGCTAGGTCATAGTCTTCCCCAAAACAGATCATTTTAGCTATAAAATTCTGTGAAATATACAGCTCCCCTGGACCACTCTAAACCTCCCAAATGAGAATCTTCATGCAGTCTATTCAGTGAATTTTGCACATGCCCTGTAGAGCTTTCTTGGTTCACTTCTTCAATGTGTACAGAGGGCAGGGTGCTTGAGTGTGTAGTTGGCCCTAGACCTGTGCCTTGGATATTAAGTGGACAGAATCTTCCTGTTTTTGAGGATGGGGGTTGGCAATCATGTATTGTTCATCTATAGCTAATGCTAACAGAAGTTATATTATTTTAATTAGCCTTGAAGCACTCCAAAAGTAATTTTTTGGTACTTATCCTCTAGAAATGCTCAAATATTTTTTTTTTTTGTTAGGGTGACCCATGTACATAGCATAATGGTCATGTGTAGTGAGAATTCTGGAATTTTTGAGTTTTTTTAAAAAACAAATATTATAAAAAATGTCTTCATTTTAATCCCAGGTGTAGAGATATGGGGATGCTTCAGACTTTCTTCAGCAGCTGAGTATGATTTACCTTGAGCTCTAGCAGATCTGTGGTTTTGCCAGCTGCAGATCATTTTTGCGATTTTGTGTCATTTGGAATTCTGGAAACTTTTCAGAGGTTACATAAAGGTGAGGGCCCTCAGAGAGGTGGTTGGTAGTTGCTAGTCGTTTAGGAAGGTTGTTTGCAGTGTGGCCATGGTCAAAGAAAAAAGGAAAAACAAAAGGAAAGAGATTAGTGATAGGGGATGAAATGGGGTGGGAGAAGGGTGATAAAGAGTGGAAAAAACACCCCACAAGGTAGCAAGGATCAGGTACAGTTATGGGCATGTTAGACTCAGGAAAACCTAAGTATGTCACTGAGTTCAGCAGTAGTGACCTTGGGAACCTCTCAGTTTGCTTCCTCACTTGTTAACTGAGAATAATCATTCCGCCATAGTCCTGCTTTATGAGAGAATTCTGTGGCTATGTGGGATAGGGGCACAAGCGTTGGAGCTCCCGGATGAGGCAGCTCTGATAATGTCTATGTCCCCACAGATGCCAGTATCGAAGCAGTTGGGCCCTGCACAGCCCAAGAAGCGACTGGAGCGCGGAGCGCTCTCTATCTCAGCACCCCTCGGAGACTTCAGGCACACATTGCACGTGGGACGCGGTGGCGACGCCTTCGGGGACACCTCATTCCTGAATCGCCACGGGGGCGGTCCACCCCCCGAGCCCCAAGCCCCACCCGTTGTGGCCCCACATTCTGTTCCTCCACCTGCAGTCCCACAGCCCCCTGTGCCTGATCTCCGAGTGCCTTCACCTGCGGACCCATTGTTGTCCTTCCACCTGGACCTGGGCCCCTCTATCCTGGATGCGGTGTTAGGCGTCATGGACGCGGAGCGCGGCGAGGCATCGGCCACCAAGCCCGATGGGGATGCCCACCCTGGCATGCAGCACCCCGAGGCCTGCTGCTGCTCCAATGCTGACCTACAGCTGAACGACGTCATCGGTCTGTAGTGTTGTGATTCCTGCAACCCTTCCCTCCCAGCACTTAACTTTTGTACATATAAATGGCCGAGGTTTGTGCCATGGACTGTCTATTCACTTTACGCGAGAAAGGGTGCAGAAGCCGGACAGTGGTGGGGTGCTACCATCTAAAAGTCAAGTCTGTCGTCATTAAGAGTTTGAAGGTGTATTCATGTAATGCCCCTCCCAAAAGGCGGAGTCTCGTACCTGACTTCTCCTACAGCCCTATTCATTCCTGAAGCATTGACCCGTCCTCACTGACACCTGGATAAAGTCCAGACCTCGTGGCAGCTGCTATGGGAAAAACTGGCCTAAAGAGTCACAGTCGCCTGGCCATCCACTTCCCTCCAGGTGCACTCTGACTGGGCGTTGCCGCTCCCTTTTTCAGGGAGCGGCAGCAAAAGGAAGTGGTTGGCGACCCTTTGGAACCACGAGGGGAGTGGTTCCCGTGGGAAGGGCTTCAGGTCCCACCGATTGTGTGTCGCCCCGTGGTGGCCGTTGCGTTACAAATCTGGGCACAAAGTTCAGCCTGAGCCTACAGATGCCCAGACATTTTAACGTCCCAGAGGTGCAGGGCTGCCTGAGCCTATATGGAGAAAGAGGGTGAAGCAATATTCTCAAAGGTTTTCAGAGGGGAGGAACTAGAATTAGTCTCTGGGTTTGGGAAGGGGTTTTCTTAGGTCCCTAGAGGGATGAGACCATTTTAACTTAAACGGACCAGAGGTAAAGTCTTTTAAAGCTTCCAAAAGAGTGGGTCGTATATGTCAACCCTTAGGCTTGGGGACAGGAGTAAAATCTGACCCCTACAAAGAGGCACAAGTAAAACCATTGAACCTGGTGAGCCATGGTAGGACGAATGAAAAGCCTAGCATCTGTAAAACATTCAGGTGGGGTGGGGCCAAGGTAAAGGGGTGAGGCTCCCAGGAAAAACAGGAGCGGTCATTTATAAATAACTTGACAGAGGCAGAACCATGAGTCACTTTACTCGTTATGAGGTATGGTTTGTAAGTTAATCAATGGTATGGGGACTGGCTACAAACTTTAAGGACGGTTGGGGGCTGGGCCAGGATGGCTGAGCCTACCTCCCCTCCTAATGAGCGGAGTACGGTTCAATCTGATGCTGCCCTGCCAGGTTCCCTAGAGGTCTCCTGGGGCTGAGCAGATGCAAAGTATCTGGAGGCAGCGGGAGGGGGTTTCTAAGCCCTACCTCCACCCAGGCTGCGGAGTATATGTAAATCGGATGCGAAGAAGCCTTGCTCCTAGGGTTTCTTGAGACCCTGACAGCGGTGGGGCACATGTCAAGAATTTGCAAAACTGTCTCGATTAAGTCCCAAAAGGGAGGAGCACATATAAAGTAGTTGGATGGGATGGGACACGGCTCTCTGGAGTTCCAGAGAGAAGCTTGACACACGTGTAAATTGGCTGGTTGGGCCGGGCCAGGCTCTCTATGGCTCCCTGAGGGGCTGGACATACGTAAATCATTTTAGGCGGGGCAAGAAGGGGTTCCCAGTGGTTTACAAGCCGGATACGCGTAAACAAGCTCCGCTTGAGATAGGAGCTCTAGAGCCCGTGTTACATTCTGACGCCTGGCCCTTGGCCTCCCTTCCACCAGATGCGAGCGGGCTCCTGGCATCACAGTTGATGATCAACGCTGCGGACTGAGATCACTTAGTGTGTGGGGGACCATGGAGGCCTCGGCCGATTCCTCTGAGGCCCCCGCGGCCTGCCGCTTCTTTCTTGAGGGCCGCTGTCGCTTCGGTGCGCGCTGCCGTCAGCCACATCCTGGGGCCCCGGCGCCGTCCTCGGAGGTTGCGCAGCCGGAAGCTGAGTCCAAGAAGCCAGAGGCCGAGTCTAAGAAGCCGGCCCTGCGTACTGCTGCTGACGTCATCCAACGCATCCTCTGGGACCCGCGCCTGGAACCCGCCGACTTTTCGGTGGGCTACACCGACCGCTTCCTGGGAGTGCAGGAAGAGCCATTCTGCGCCTTCTGCTGGGACGAGCCGCTGGCAGCGCTTGGACCCGGCGTGTTGGCAGTGCCGCAGCACCGAATACGCTACTTCCGCTTCCGCGGCCGCCTGGTGTGGGACCGTGCCTCGCGCACAGACCTTATTTTTGGCTCGGGCTCTGTGGCTGGACGGGGACCCACCATCCTTGATGCGCTGGACGGCGGAGACGAGCATTGGACAGAGGTCACACTAGAAATTCCTGACAAAAAGAAACCAGGGGTGGGTTTAGAGGGTCTGGATACCCAGGATGACCCTGAGGAAGGGGGTGGAAATCCGACCAGAACAGGGTTTGATTCGGTCCTGGAGACACCCGAAGAGGGTGGGGCAATCAAAGAGCTCAGAACTGGGCTTGATTCCAGCCTGGAGACACCTGAAGTGGATGGACCAAGCAAAGAGACCACTGAGTTAGAAACAGCTGACCCAAGCATGTACTTCCCAGGAGTAAAAGAGATCTTGAACTCAGTAGAGGTGCCCAGAGCTGCAGTGCTTCCACAGTGGCAGGCGCAAGCCATGCAAACTAAAGGGCTTTCTGCTGACGAGATGGAGAGCGTGTGGAATGCAGGCGCTTGGCCTGATGACAGAAAGGCCCCTCGCCAGCCCCGGCCTACACATTTTGTGGCACTGATGGTGACAGAGCCTGGGCTTAGGGCTGAGGTGGTCAAGGCCCAAGAGCATCTGGTCCGGATTGCCCCTTCTTGTGCTGAGTTCCTGGTACCAGCACAGGCCCTGCACCTGACAGTGGTCTTGCTAAGGCTGACAGGCCCTGGGGAGGAGGCTGCAGCAGCTAGAGCTCTTCAGAGAGCCATCTTGAAACCAGGGCTTCGGGCACCCTCCCAGTTACAGTTCCGGGACTTGGTTCTTCTGGGCCATCATGTGCTCTGTGCTGCACCCTCCCCTACACTGGCAGGCATGGCCCAAACACTGAATCAGAGGCTAGAGGCCGAAGGGCTTAGAGTGGTGCAGCTGCCAGAACTACAACCACACCTCACCCTGGCTAAGGTACCACATGGAACCCAGGTCTGCCTCCCTAAGCCTGAGTACATCCTGAACCAGGAGCTAGGAAGGCAGCCCCTAGGGAAACTCTGGCTGTGTCGAATGGGCAGAGCTGGGCAGAGCTACCTTCCCCTGGCTGAAATTCCTCTGAAGTGACTGAGGTTTCATATTTCAGATAAAGAAACAGGCCAAGCAGAAACAGGTTCTCGCTCTCTCTCTCTTTAATTTTGGTTTCAAGCTTCCAAAATGTACTGTACTCAATGCTCAAGGAGAATGAAGGAAGGGGAAGGGAGAGGTAGGGAGGGGAGGCAGGGAGGCATCTGGAAAAAAAGCAGCCTGACAGTCCAGCTGTTTGCAACCTCATAGCACATCCTCCAGTTACATGGCAGAAGGGAGGGGGGTAAAAAGAAAAGGGGAGAAGGAAGAAAAGTAACTTAAACACACACACAGAGAAAAGAGAAGGAAACATGACGTGAGCTGGTGATCCATGAAGGCAGAGGGGAGGAAAGAAGGGAGGGTAACCATTTTACCTGTGTTGAACCAGGGAGTAGGAAGGGAAGAGGAAGAGGAGGGAGGGAAAGAAAAAAAAAATCAGAAGAAACATTGGGGCAGAGGGGGGAAGGGACACGGAGACAACTTAATACAACTTGAATAAGACGAGACAGCCCGGCCGGCATGGTCCCGCGAAGGCCTTGGAGTCCTCAGTGCGGTGTGGCGCTGGTCTGGTTGTGTCGGTGGTGCTGGCTGGCATTTCTGGGGTGAGGAGCTGAAGGTGGGGCATAGTCTTTAAGTGGCTTCCCTCACCCCAAACACTGAGGCCCCAATGGCTGGGCAGCAAGAGTCTATGACGAGGCAGACGAGGCAATGGGTGTGGCTGGCTGGTGCCCCGCTGCAGGCGGGTGCGGGCTGGACAGCCTGTCTTCTTTCTGCTGGCCCCCCAGCATGGGATGGGCCAGCACGCAGAGTCAGGTGCTGGAGTACGAGCTCGAGAGAGAGAGAGAAAAAACACTGAGACAGCATTAGTGGAGGTGAGAGGTGGACACAGAACCTGTAGCCCCCACCCCACCCTGCTCCACTCTATACTCCCAATTATCCCCTCTGAGACAAAAAATAAAAACGTAGAAAAATCTCTGTACAGGTCCCCGGTGGGAAACGGGGGTAGGGATGCTGGCTCTTCCTGGAGCCTACTCCCCACAAATTTTTACAACCCATGTCCATGGCTCAAAAACAAAATTTGAAAAGGCGGCGCTGGGCCACAGCCCTGCCCCCGCCCATGCTCGATGGGTGCTCAGAAGGCTGGCAGCTGCGCCAGGCTGAGGCGGCAGTCCACGCTGGAGTTGTCCGGGCCCGTGTAGGACAGGCCCAAGGGCTCTAGGAAGGCCCGGCAGGCGGCCTCGCCCTCGAAGGCCAACTCGGCCTGCAGGTAGGAGACGGGCAGCGCAGGGCGGAAGCTATGGAGACAAGAGGAGAAAATGATGAGGCAAGCAGACAAGGGAAGGCCCGAGAGCAGGGAGCAAGGCTCCCCACCTGGGCTTGCATTTTCCTCAGCAAGGAACCTGCTGGCTTCTGCAGCCCCTCCCAACCTCCCCATTTTCAGGGGCTTGGGGGGGCAAGGGATGGGGTTGGTAGCCCCAGTGCCCAGGTGTGCCCCCCCTTGCCCACACTTACCTGTTCAGGAAGGAGGGGGCAGGAGGGAAAGGGCCCAGCTTGGCTCCTCTGCGACTGAGGAGCTGGAGCCAGACAGAGTAAGTGGTACATGGACTCAGAGGGTAGGGACAATGGTGCCCCTCCCCCCCAGGATGTTTGCACAGAGTGTTACACTCAGCAGTGCCTTCTGGTTGCTACTAAGATGCCCTATAGTGTTCATGTCCTGCTAATTCTGAGGACCCTCTCCTGATGGCCACCAAAACCCTTTAACCACTTAGAAAGCCTCACCAAGTATCAGGAACACAGGCATCCTATGGGTTCCCTTGTCTGCCTCAGGCTATGGCAGGAACAAGTCTGCTATCTGAGGGATTTGTCTGCGGTGCTAAATTCATAGGAAGGGTGCTGTGAGAATGAGGGCCACACAGGCCAGAGCTTGAAAGCTGCCCATGAGGTGGCTTACTGGATTACAAAAGGCACAGTAGCCTGATGTCCATTCAGAATTTCAGCTAGTCAAATCTGGAGTCACAGCCCTTCCTCCCTTGAGTTGGACTGACTTACAAAATTCTAGAACACGTTTCTTGACCCATAGGTTGCAACTCCCAGTGTAATGGAACCACTAATGACAAAGCACTGGTGCCTAGCCTGACATTCAAGGCTCTTGACCAGGGTTTTTCAATCCAGACAGGACTGGCAGCAGGCACTGCTGTGGAGCCTTTTGTTGCACAGCATCCCTGGTCTATACTCACTACCACTAGATGGCAGCAACAGCATCCACAAGCAAAGGGTTGTGGTGGTGTTGGGAATCTCTTGCTCACACAGCAAGCCTCATGCGGTCTGATAGCCAGGGTCCTTGCAACACCACCCTCTGTGCCGCAGCTCCCCAATCCAAGACAGAACTCTGATAGTCAAAAATGGAACGGGCACAAGGTCTTATCTCGAGAGACTGCTAGCAATGTGAGCCCTGTCACCCTTTCTAATGTCAGCAACATGAGCAGCACATAGCTGCAGGCAAAGGCCCTGAAAACGGGGAAGATGAGCCAGGTTCCAAACTGACTTAAACAGAAAAGGAGTGCAGGGAAGGAAGGAAAGGACAGGAGACCAGGAGCAGTGAGGTCAGAACAGTGGGAGACAACCTGGAACTGAAGGTGGCCGAGGAGGAAAGCAGTGAGGGCCAGGGGTATGAACAGGGGACTGGGAGGGGACTCCAGCGGGGGAGCTGAAGGCTGACCAGGATGTGGAGGGGACATGGCAGAGCCACAGCACAGAAGGCAGCAGAGTGCAGTGCCACATACGTTTTGATCATGGCCTTGAGGGCGGCCTTGCGCTCCCGGTCTGCAAACTTGTCCACAAGGTAGCCAGACATGCAAGGTGCATGGCAATAGAGCCTGAAGAAGCGGTGGTAGTTGCCGAGGGCCCAGGCTGCCCTCAGTGCCAGTGCATGGGACACGCAGGGATCTGCCTTCATCTCCCTCGTGAGATATGCCAGTTCCGTAGTGATGTCTGCACAAGAGATAACTGGAGGTCAGGTGGCCGGCCGGATGCCACCTTGGGCATGGCACCCTCCATCTTGGGGATGGGTCCCTCACCTCCAGAGTTCTTGGTGAAGATGTAGTAGAGGATTCGGTACGCTGTAAATTCACCCACGTTGCCTGCTAAGTTTTCCGCATACAGTGACTTAAGCTGTGTCTGACACTGGTTGAATTCTTCATGGTCACCCTGAGGGTAGGGCAGGGAAGGGTGTAAGGCATAGGCAACTACAAGTGATTTCCAGAAAGGAGAAGGAGGAAGCTACCACGTTCCCCACCTTCTCCAAGGCAATGCGGGCATGGGTCTCATACACCTCCACAGTGAACTCCGTCCGGATGCCTTGCACCTGGGCAGTGGAAAAGAGCAGAGTCAGGCAGAGCAGAGCAGGGCAAGGTGGCTGACACCAGACCCCTCTCCCCATCTGCCTTACTGTCAGGTCCTGCCGAATGGACTTCATCTGCTCACAGGCAAAGGCGTAGTCCTGCTTCTCCTTCCAGTGGGACTTGACCATGCACAGAGACTTCTTCAAAACCTGCAGGGAATACAATCAAAGCTGAGTGGAGAGACAGCAGACAGGCCAAAGCCACTGTGTCCCCACTCTAACAAGAACTGCAACAAAGCCAGAATCAGTGACTACGAATAAACAAAATCAAGGCAATACACAATAGGTATGAGTGCCACACAAAGCTGTGCCATCCTGATGCACAACACCAGCTACCTTTCCAAGTCTACCTCGCTCTAGGGTCCCACACATAAGTCTTCCTTCCTTTGCTGGTCATAAGGCAGACTGTGGCCAGGCTGTGCCCTAGATGTGAAGGGCCTGAATGCTAGGATTTCCTCATAGTCCGAGCTCCTTCAACTGACGTGTCCCATGTGCCCCTTCTTATGCTAGCTCCCCATCCTAATGCCAACACATCCTGGGGGCAGACACACACTGCTTGGGACTTACAGCCACAGGTCGCACAGTTGATGGGTCTGGGGCGCAGGTGAGCCGCAGATAGTGCTTTGTAATGTCAGGACAGGTACCCACAATCTGCAGCTCCTGCCAGTCAGGGTCAGCTCCACTACTTTCCAGGTTACTCATCTGTAGCACCAAAGGTTCAAGGCGCAGGCGACGTGAATGCCCATGTTGGAAGCGGGCTGCCCTCTTTTGCTTCTTAAGCTCACGCTCTGGATCCTCACACTCCAGTGCTGCCATCTTCTTGCGGCTGCGTTTGGTGGGACCTAGGTCATGTCTGGAGAGAAAGGGTAAAAAAGAAAGCCAATGTTTTCAGCCACTCTGAAGGCCATCTACCCCACCTGTGAGACCCAACACCACCCACCTATGCCTAGGAAGAAATCCTATCCAAAGCACCTCACCTCTTTCCACGCTGCGCTCTGCCTCGACCTCGATCCATGTGGGCCCCACGACCACCCCGACCCTTGTGGGGTGGGTTCCTGCGGCCTACAGGGTGGCACTCATTCCCTGAGTAGGAGCTGTCAGAGTCTGAGTGGGAGTCACTGCACAAGTAAGAAAAGTCAGGCCTGAAGCACAAGGGTCAGGCTCTAAGCAGCTCCCTCCCAGCTGCCTTCCAGCCCAGGCGTGCACACCTTCTCCGAAAGTGTCGGGTAGGAGACCTGGACGAGGAGCGGGAGCGCGAATCGGTGCTGGAGGAAGAGCTGTTATCCTTCATGAAGACGTTGCGGTTGCCGAACTTGGTGAAGCTGCTACCCCGAGCTCGGCCAGCAACCCCAGCCCCAGGTGTCCCTCGCTGGGATTGGGCACCCCCGCCCCTGGTCACCGAGCCTGCCCCCCTGGAAGGGTGAAGGCTGCTAGGGGCCTCCCACCGCTTCTTCTTGGGGCTCTCAGCCACAGGCTCCCTGGTCAGCCTGAGGATATAGCAGGGCAGGGCATTACTAACCAGCCACCAACCTGCAGTTCTGCAGACCCCACCCCATGGCCCAGGACCACAAAACCTAAGAAAGGAGAGGCACTTACCCCGGCAACTCAGCCACTGTGGTGCAGGAAAGGGACCAAGCCCAAGATTGTCTGTGTCCAGGGGATGCTCTTAGCCATCAAGCCACCCATACCTCCCTAGCAATCCCTTCCCACTTCCTAAAACCCATCCTTGATCACTCCTGGGCATCCTACCCACCCTATGGAGACCTGAGATATAGGTGTCAGCTTTCGGAACCATTTGTCTCAGAAGCTGCTAGTTTTGCTATTCATGTCCCCAGCCCATACCCAGCAGCCCCAGTGTTTCACAGTGTCACCCAGACTGACCCAGGCAGAGGCTCTCGGCTCCAGTCGATGGTGTAGGCAGAGCCATCCTGGAGCCGGGCCTGTAGCACCTCCTTGAGAAGTTTCTCTGTTCGGTCCTTGTCCTCTTCTGACTCGCAGGCGGTAAAGCACCGTTCCACATATTCCTTCATATCCTGAGGCCAATCATCCGGCTTCCCAGACAGGTTTCCCCGGCCAGAAGGCCCACTGTGGGATGGGGGATAGATGAGGGCACTCAGGTGGAAGGTTCCACACATATCAGCACAACTTTCTCTGTCATCTAAGGAAGGCAGTCTTGTACTGTACATTTCTATACTCCCTTCACCTTATGAAGCACTCAAGGGTAGTTCCTAAAGAGGGACCTTGGAGCACTAGGCAGGGTCAAGGATGGCAGTCACCTGTGGTTCTGCGCTTTTTCGGAGTTGGGCTGGGGACCAAAGCTGCTGTGTTGACCCTCTGAATTGGAGCTGAAGCTCTGGTTGGTGACTGCAAAGGGCCGCTTCTGGATGTTAAATTTTAGCCCTCCAGTACCAGGAGCTGCTGTGGGAGGATAGCACAGACAGGAGTTAGGCCTTCCCCAGACATTCAAATACGCTAAGCTCTGGAACAAGTTCCTAACATGAGCAAACCTGTTCTAGAACAGTCTTCCCCTAGACTAGGGCACATCACAACACTCGGACAAAGGACTAGCAACCCTGTGTGGCTCATGGCCAAGCTCCAACCCTCTGACTCCCCCACAGATCTGCTAACTTACGTTTCATGCGGGTCCATAACTGCTGACCCTTCTTAGGTTTGGCAGGCTCATTGTAGCTGTGTGGCCCATATGCCTGCCCTGTAGGAGGAGCCCCTGCCTGACTGTGCTGAGCGGTCGGGGCTGTTCCAGGCTGAGGGCCGTTGCTTAAACTATGTGTCCCATGTTGTGGGTTTGAGGGCTGAGGGGGCTGGGCTGCAGGTAGCTGCTGAGGGGAAGCCTGGTAGGCCATACTCTCATCCATGCCAGGGACTGGAGGCTGCAGGAAGAAACAGAGGCTGAAACAAGCAGGCAGCATCCTGGTGCTGAGTCACATGGTATTCAGTCTTTATAGACATCTTCTTTAGCACTCAGTGCCACAATCTTTTGTGGGTAGCAACTGTGTGTGCTCAGTGACTCCCTGGGGTATCTATTTTCACAAGCAGTTCATTTCACAACTAAGATTAAGCCTCAAGAGACTGAACAACTAGACACAGCTCAGCTATCAAGGAGCAGTTACCAGCACGCCAATACTGAGGCATGACTCTACACTGATGACACATCTACTAACTAAGGTTTCCTCTATTGAGCACGTCGACACACATGACAACACAACTGCCCAATCCCAATAACAAGACTGTACCCTCTAGACTCTTAAGAGCCACCAAGGTATGGTAGCCATGTGACTCAAGAGGTCCACAGAAGAGGCAAAGCATGTATTCAAACCCAGGTCAATGTACTTCCCATGCTCTATGCTCCTCCACTCCTCTAGGCTGTGACAGATGCAAAGGCAGCACACTGGGTAGGTACAGATGCATATGCACCATTTGCTGTGTATGTGTGTGTGTGTGGAGTGGGGAGGCTGGGGGCAGGGGAGGACTTTCTCTTGAATGCAAGTTGAGAGTGCACATGCTGGAGAAAAAGAGAGAAGACAGACTGCCAAACTACAAACTACTCCCACTATCTTCCCAATACTACAGCCCCTTGGCCTTGCCCAGCCTCAAGCCCATCCTACTTTTAAAAGCTAAGCTTTTAGATTAGGAGCTGCTTTGCAAGAAAGAACAAGGAGGATGGGAGGGGGCAGCTTTGAAATCATGCAGACCATTGGTTGCAAGTCCTCTCAAGACCCAGGCTCTCTCCCAGCTGACCAGGAGCAGCTAGGCACAGCATTACCTGGTTCAGAGTCCCTTGGTGCTGGGGAGCCGATGGCTGCTGGGCTGTAGCTGAGCCGTAGGAGCTGGCCATCCCATACTGGGAGGGGGAGCCATAGCTCTGGTACATGCTCTGCCAAGGCACAAGGGGAGCCAGAGTTAATGGAGGCTGCTCACCATGCCTCTGGCCTCCCTTGGATCTGTGTACAACTCAAAAGGCTATAGACCTCAGGCCCTTAATTTTTTCCACCACACAATTGCACTAATCATGTTTTTTTAAAAAAAAAATAATAATGAAAACCAAAAATCTCCTCATTCCACTTATGATCACAGCCAGAGTTCTTATTAATAGGTAGTGAGAAACACTGAAGTAAAAGTGCCAACATTTTAAAACGGTATGATAAAATGATAGGGGCAACAGCTCACCCCTTTAATGACAGGACTTTGGTATGGGGCAGAGGCAAGTGGATTTCTGTGGAGTTTGAGTAAGACTGATCTACACAGGGAGATCCAGGCCAACCAGAACTACGCAGTGAGTCGTTGTCTTAAAAATCAACAACAACAACAAACCCAAAACAACAAAACAAAACAAAACAAAAACAAAACAAAAACAAAAAAAGCAAGCTAGTTGTGGTGATGTACATCCCGGCAGCTGAGGCAGAAGTCAACTTGAGCTATATAGAGAACCCTGACTCAAAAAGCAAAAACCCAGACTTTATAATAAAGTCTACACATAGCTATGGTGGAAGTGGGCAATGGCCTACAGTAAGTACCATGAAAGAAAACAAGGCAGAGAAAAGGAAAAGCAGGAAGATAACTTAAAAGGCAGTGGGAGGCTCTCTGAAGGTACTCTCTGGGCAGCAAGGAACCTTGAAGTGAGCCACAGAACGGAGAGCTGCAGCAGAGCAAAGCACAGGGACTTGGACATTAGTCCTGGGCTCTGGAGGCAGCAGGAATGTCAGCATCAACAGTGCAATGGACCAGAATGGATATGCCAGATCTTGTGAGACCTGAGCAGGAATCTGGCAGTTTTGTCAGGAGCTGCTGTCTGTCTTCACCCAACGAACCATTCGTCCACCCGGACAGAATGCTCCCACCCTGCAGCCAGGTCCTCACCATGGGGTAGTAGTAGCTGTACGGATAGGCATAGTTGTACTGCTGGTACCACTGGTAGTACTGTTGCTGCTGCTGCTGCAAAGCTGAGGCTTCTGCCTGAGAGACATACTGTAGAAAAAGGAGTGTCTATCAGTACCAGTCACAGGAGCCCATGGGCACTCCAGTCCCAGGAGGACAGGCCTTCACTGCACAGTAAGTGCGGGAAGGGAGCAGATTCCATACAGTAAGACCAGACATCTTAAAGATGGGAACCATTGTCCTTAAGATCACTCAGGCCCAGGTTAACACAAAGAAATTAACTTTTTCCCTTCATCAGATTTAGTTAACAGGAAGACATGTTTACAGTCACCCTACAGCACTCCATCTTCTGGAAGTCAGAATCCTTCCCACCCTTCTCTTGACAACAGCCCCACCCAGCACAGTAGTTCCCAAATCCTGCATGGCATTCTCACTTGTGCACTGGCCACAGGCCCACTGCTGCTGGCTTTGGAACTGCTGGCAGCCCCTGCTTTGCTGATGCTGGCCAGGGCTTGGCGGGCCTTCTCCCACTCTGGGTTCTCGTGCATAGGAGTCTCCATGCCATTCTCTCTGCTGGCCCCAGTCACCATGCTGTACTGAGAAGACCTGCAAAAGTGAAGCAGAGTTATGCTCTCCCACTATAAACAGGTAGCCAAAGCTGGGGAAAGTAAACCCAAGGCTTGAATTCTAGAGCTAAACTCCCCACTCACCAAAGCCCAAGCTGAAGGTGGCACATAGCGAGCAAGTGCCAAGCAAACAGAACGCTTACTAGTATGTACATAATTTCACACATGACCTAGGACCTTAGGAGAACTCAGTTTTTTTTTTTTTCTTTTTTTTTTCTTTACAAGCCAATGAATTCTGACATGGCCAACAATGAAAAAAAAATTTACAAAAGACAGTAAGTGAGGGCTGCAAAGGTGGCTCAGTATTTAAGAGCATTTAGTAGTCTTGCAGATGTCACCAGTTCTGTTCCCAGCACCCATGTCAGACAGCTCACAGCCACCTATAACTCTAGCTCCAAGGGATCTGAAGTCTCTTGTGACCTCGATGAGCATGGATTACATACATTCACTCATACATAAAAGGAAAGCTCAAAGCGGAAGCTTACCCGTTCCATCCTAGCCCCCCAGAATGCTGTGGAAGGTCCCATTGTGTCTTGTTCCTCTTACCTTCCACAATGGCCCGTGTTCCCCGCACTCAACTCACCAGTCTGCAGCACGCTGATCACCCACGTTGGCCGCCATCTGGACCTTGGGGTGTAGGGAGTAGACCTCGGGAGCCAGACTGCTTTTTCAATGTCTATAAGAAAAGAGATGAATTAGGAAGACCCAAGAGATGATAGCCTAGAAAGGGAGGGTATCATCTCACAGAAGGGAACATTGGTAAAAAAGGGAAAAGAATCCATGTGTGGTGGCTCATGACCAAAATTCCAGCAGTCTTTTGGGAGTTCAACACTCATCTGGGCTACAAGTTGAAGTCCTGTCTCAAAACAACGCCGTCACCAGCCTAAAGACTCAGAGAGACTCAATTCTTAGCATGAAGAGACCTGAGCATGAAAGGAAACACTTCCCTTAGAGGTCTCCAAGACCAAACTGTAGGATAGGAAAATGAAAGACAAGGAAGCTGAAACTTGCATTACAAGTGTGGCTGGGAGGGAAATCTGGCTCAAGGGGTGGATGCAGAATCTTCAGTCCTGGACAGGATATCTAAAGAGAATCCTACTACACAAGAGGCAGGCTCGCCAGTGAGTAACTACCAGTGACTTAAGTACTAGCTATAAAGACGCTTGGCAAGAGGGAAGCCTCTGCGGACACTGTGAAGAGTAAGGAACTGAGACTGGGAGAACACTGGAGAACAGAGCAAAGTTTTCAAAGCAAAAGGTAAACTATGGCTGTCCCACTGAGCAGCAGCAGGCGAAGGAGCAGGAGTGAAGTCACCGGCTGTCAGCACCTTCCACACTCAATCAGTTCCATCTCCAGAGGACAGGGAAGAGACTTGTATGGGATGTTCCTAGGAACAGGAGTTGGTTTGAGAGAAAACAGGTGGCAATTACTCAAGTAAGAGGTCTGCAGATAAAGCTCTCAGGATGCTGTGGGAGGCCCATATGTTTTTAAAGAAACTATTAGGGGTGGGGCGGATAGTACCATAAGCAACATGATGGACCGACCACCTTGCAATCAGGGCTGGAGCAGTCCAAACAACAGGTTTTACAGCAAAGAAACCTATTGGAGAAACCGAAAATCTTACAGGAAGCTTAAAGGGAACTGACAGGTCTCAAAGGCTTTTAAAAAAAAAAAAACCAACAACAATCCGTCGGGTGGAGTCAAGGGTTTCTAACTAGGGAAGCACGAAGGAGAGCCTAGGGTTACAAATTAGTATTAGGAGTGAAGACTAGGGGGAAGGGCTCTGATGTACGAGAACAACATGGAGTAGTCTCAGGAGCACCTGGCTGTCCCACAGGCATGGGGTCGACGACGCTAGGTGGAGGCTGAGGCCGCCCTGAAACCAAGCGACCTCCCTTGTCCCCCGAGGCCAGCGACCGGCCCGGCCACGCCTGCGCACCACGCTGCGAGGGTGGCCTCTCTGGGTTGCCCTAGGCAACGGGGCGGCAGGCGTAACAGCTCGTTAAGGGGGCCGCAAGGGCAGCGTCTAGGGCATTAGGGTCCTCAGCGTTCCCAGGGCCTGTGGCAGGGCGGAAGCGGATGCGCACGCGCAGTGGAGCAAGCCCCACCCTCACGCGCGCAGACCCAGCGCGCATGCGCAGCGCCGCTCCGGCGGCCACACCCTTTAGAGACGCAGGGCGCGGCGTCGGTTGGCCTCAACAAACAGGCCAGGACTCGCGTAGCGCGTAGCCCGAAGGAGTCCCTGTCCCTGCCCGCCAGGCCTCCCACCACTACCCACACTCACTCCGACCGCTCGCTCCCGGGATTCGTTACCGGTGGCCCAAGGCAGCTACAAGACAACCAAGACAGCGCTCAGTCACCGGCTGGTTCTACTCTGGGGCTCGAACGTCCCGACCGCGGCGTGATGACGCTACCCCGACGTCTGTCCCCGCCCCGTGTCGCGCTCAACCAATAGACTTCACCGCTCGGATTGAACCGCCCTCCACACGTCCGGCGTACGCACTCGCGTGTGGGCGTTGCCAGCAAGCCGGAAGCTGGCGTTAGACGGTGGCCCCGTGGGGACAAGCACCTTGATATCGCTTATCCTTTCGTGCGCGCTCATAACATCCTAGTTTTGACTCAGTAGTTAATAGGTCCTCACAAGTAAAGCATAGGGAGATGTGTTGTGAGGCTGAGCACTGCACTATGACGATTAAAAACAAAATGGGGTGGAGGGAAGCGGGCTAAAGATGAATCCTCCCTTGGAATGCTTGTCTAGTGAATAAAATTGGAATGGCGCACCTGGCGTGGGGAACAGCCAGTGCGAATCACTGGAAGCGGGAAACGCGTCACTTGAGGAATGGGAATAGCCACTGGACTGTGACGCTGGAAAGGTATCCTGTAGGGTGTTGGGATGGTGAGATATGTACGGAGAAGCAGCTAGCAGAACTGTGTTAAGATCAGGATGGCCTGCCGAGCGAACAGTGGTGGCTCACGCCTTTAATCCCAGCACTTGG